CCTCCATCCTTCTCCAAGTTCCAATCCTCTGCTTCGCGCTCCTCTCCCTTGGCGTGGTCCTCTCCCCGGCGAACCCTCTCTCCACGTGCTCCGAACTCACTAATATGAGAGAAAGTGTTAAGGTCTTGATGAATAAAGATAGTCTTTTTTAAATCATTTTCAATGGTAAAGTGACTTTCTTTAAGCACAAGCCCTTTTGAAGAAATATTATCCTCCTTACTCTTCTCTAAAAGTATTGTTTGTTGTTTTTCTTTTTCTAACCACTCTTTAACTCTCTCTATACTTTTCTTATTTCTTTCTTTCTTTATTTGTATTTTCTTTTCTTTTTCCTCTCTCTAACCCCTTTGCCTATTTGAGACCTAGTTGGAACAACCCTAGGTTTGGATCCACTAGTTTCTACAACCAATTTTGCAAGTAAATTTCTTATTTCCTCATTATTCTTTGCATTTTCTTTTTCTCTTCTCCTAAGCTCTTCTTCCCTTCTTGTGTTTTCCTCTTCTTTTTTTTCTTCTTATGTACTCTTTTAATTCCCTTAAGTGCAACATTTTATCAAACACTTGCTACTCAATTCTAGTGCCATTCTAGGAATTAATCTTTTGAGTGTTTGCCTTTCTTAATGTGCCTTAATTTTAGTTTTGTGTCTTCTTTCTACTCCTAAGTTTTGTCACATTTATCCCCACTTGAGTTTAGCCTTCCTAATTGTGCATTTTTAGTTTTTATTTCTTTGGACTCTTGTACTCTTGGGTGGTTTCTTCTTGATCTAGGTGTGGAAAGCTCCTAAACTCATCATATGCATTTTCGGTTAATTGATTGGAGGAGTTGTCTGATTTAACTCCAAGACCTTTGGAAGGAGTTATACCAATCAAAAAGAGTGAATACACCATTGAGAGGCTAACCTTAGGTGTTCCTTGTGAAGGGATGGAGAATTGAAGACTACAAGATCTACTTTTATTGTTTACATTTCTCTTTTGCATAATTTCTTTTAGGCCACTTATGTTCTTGACCTTTTTTTCTTTGTTTCTTTTGGTTTGTAATTGGCCTCTTTAAACCATTTTAGTGTTACTCGTCTCTCTTAGTTTTTCTACAGTTGTAACTTGAACAATAGTTGTTTTATTGGTGGAAACTCTCACAAGGTTGTGTAAGGATTGGATGTAGCCCAATTTGGGGTGAGCTAGTATAAACTCAATGTACAATCTTTCTAACTCTACTCCTTACTTTATGTAATTATCTTATTGCTTTATATATCTATGTTCTATAATCTATTGATATATTAAACTGCTTAGAAGATAGCTTTATAGAAAAGCTAGGTTTTAGAACACTGAGAAAGTTCACCTTTTAAAGGACAAATTTTTATAAAGAACAAATTTTTAAGAAACACAATAATTCAACTACCTCACTACAACAAAATTGTCATATAGTGACACTATAAATGTCACTAAAAATTACTTTTACCCACACAATAACTACTATATATTTGTTTATGTTATGAAAAAGTTTTGTTATATACTATATTTACACACAAAACATGTTAAATCTCATTCAAAATCAATACTAAAATTTTTTTTAACTATATGTCAAATAGACATATACCTACATATATTGTACCTGTAGTGACACTTTTTGTATGTCATTATATGTAACATTTCTTGTAGCTTTTTTGTTTCCTAACATTCATTTGAAAGAGGACCTAACCACTTATTAATCTTTGAGTTATTTTTAGTAGCTTACTTTCTCTTCTTTAATTTGTGTATATTTTTCCCTTGTAAATATTTTCTTAATTTTGATCTTGCATTTCATATTCATCATTAATAAGACAAAGTAAAATTGGATTGGCTGTAAAATATATTAAAAGCATAAAGGAAAATTAATCAAACAAATGGTATGCAAAAAGATAATTAACAATGAATTAAAATTAATAAAAATATGTTTCCATTGGGTTTCTATCGTCATTTCACTAAATTACCCTAATCATAGTTCCTTACCAAAAATGGCCTAAGATCTCTAATTAAAGAAGTACTAATCCCTTAGTAACTTAAAGAACTTATAATGAACGAGAGGAACATTAAATGATAAAATCACTTAACCTTATTCCTAGCACTACTAATATTTCACTTATTACATACGACTTTTCCTGCGAATTTTTAATAAAAATTCGCAAGAAACACTTAAAAATTCACAGGAAACGTTGTTCCTACAAATTTTTCTGCAAAATTTTATCTGTAGGTAATACCTTCGTGTATAATATATTTTTGCGAATTTTAAAATTCGCAAGAAATTTTCCTACGAAATTTCTTGTGAAAAAATTCGCAGGAAAGTTTCCTGCAAAAAAGATTCGTAGGAAAGTTTCTTGCGAATTTTTTTTGCAAGAAATTGTGTAGGAATTTTTTTTGCAAGAAATTCTGCAGGAATTTTTTTTACGAAAAAATTTAAAGAAATTACTATAAATTCTATCAATAATTCTTCAACTTTGAAATGCTCCCAATGAATTCATGCGAAACATTTGTTTCCATGCCTCCAACATGTGATACATAATCTTTTAAATTCTAAGATTGTAGATTATAAGTCTAATACTCAACCATACAAATCAACTTGTTAGGTAAGTGTTGCCCCAACTTATATATTATTTAATTGTTTTATTTTCGATCAATGTGGGACTTGAATTTTTTTTTTAAATATTAAACTTATAAATTTTTTTCATTTTTCCTACGGATTAAAATTTGCAGGAAAAGTTACCTGCAAAATTTTTCTACCATTTAGTAAACATTACTTGCGAATTTATTTTTGCAAGAAAATCTGTAAGAAACAAAATAAAATTCTTACAATATTTTCTGCAAGTTTTTACCATGGATTTTTTTTATGATTATTAAAATTGTAGCAAAATTTGTAAGAAATATCTGTAAATTATTTTTCGCAAAAAATTTTTGCAAATATTTTTTTGCAAGAAAATTCACAAAAAAATTTTGCGAATAATTTTTTGCAGGAAAACTCGCAAAAAAATGACATTTTTCTAATAGTATAGTAATTAAGAAATTTGAAGTATTTAAAAATCAATTCGTATCAAAATCCAATTTTCCAATTAAGCTTTCAACCTATAATTCATTCATGGGTGATCCAGCCATAAAGTGAGAAAAATTTCAAAATTAAACACACAAAAATACAAAAAAAATACATTTATTTATAAAGAGAAGTGCATGAGAATGAGTATTCACAATTAACCCAACAAGAATATATGGAGTTTAGCTACTCCTAAACATGATTAAGGAAGCAAATAGAGTGAAAGGTCCAAAACACAATTAAAGTTCCTTTCTTAGAGCTTCTACCGGTAGGCTGTAGCATTTCTAACCCCCTAAACTAAAGCTACCCAAAATTGTATAAAATAATTGCCTTTTGTTGCAATTACGTAATTGGCACTAAGCCCTAATTAAAATGGCACTGAGCGTCACTTTTTGCACCAAAAGGTCTTCTTCCAGGGGCTCTAGTGCTGAGCCTTAAGTCTTGGCAATCAGTATTGACGCATAACTTCACAACTAGCGCTTAGCCTCAGCTCTTAGCATTTAGCCTCAGCTGACAAATTCAACTTCACACCATTTTCATCCAATTTACTTCATTTTTTCTCCTTAAAGCTAAGCCTACAAAACATACAAATTATATAAGTAACTGTATAAAGCAATATTAACACTGTTGTGACATCATTAAACAACATATTAATTCAAACAATACACTAAATTTGAAACACAATTATTTTCCTAAAATACTATATAAATCACACTTGTCAAACTCCTGAAACTTAAGATTTTGCATGTCCTCGGGCAAAAGGAAAATTTTTTCTAAAACTAAAACAACATGACATAATTTATTATTTACAACAATTGAAATTGATTTTATTCACACTTCACAATTCAAGACATTGTTGCTCCTATTCACAAAATGGAACTGAAAAACTTTTAATTCATAATAATCACACCCTTCAGAATTCACCATCAAATTCAAAACAAGTGTGCGAGAACAATCTATAGATATTAATAATCATAGAGCTATTCCCTATGATCAAGCCAAAGAATGCACCTTAATTTACCTACATGCACACAACAATCAGAGGGACTTTAATCAGGCTGAAACTTGGGTAGGCTAACAAGAAATATTGTTTTTTTTTTTAATCCAAAAACACCAAAGTATATAAGAAAGAATTTTATGGACTTTTTCATCTTCTTCTTTTGTTTTACCACCACTCTTTAATCCCCTAGATTTGAATGTCAATCTGCTTCAACTATTTGCACACATCAATTATATAGAACTTTTTTATTTTTATTTTTTTTATGTAGTGTAGACATTCAAATTGTTAATTTATTGCAAATTGACATTTCAACTGAATTTATTCATACTTATTCCCATAATCAACCCCAATAATACAACATGTATATATGACATTTCTTCCAAAATTTCATATGTTCACAGCTTACATAAAATAAAAAAAATGCCCTCTCATTCCTAAGATGCAGGAAAGAAATTGTTTTTTTTTTTTTTTAAGTTGCAAAGGGTAACATGACAAGAAAATTCATATGTTAATTTTAAGGCTCAAAGGGATTCACTAGGGATCGATTGAAATTCATTAGGTTAGCTTTTTGGCCACTGAAGGTTATAAACGTGAAAAAATTTCCGTAATCATTATATTGCATACATGTAAACAAATAACAACAAAGAATTAATCAAAATCCGTTGTCAACATCCTCCTTGTTGTATTTGTCTATGCATATTCCGTGAATTTGTACTCTTATCAATCTCTAAACTCAAGCCTTCACCGACTCCCTCCACTTTTCATGCCATGCTCATTAATCACAAAGACAGTTCATAACATTCAAATCTTGAAATTCAACGATCAACTACAATGGTATAAGTGCCAATCGTTAACCATTTTTCAATTCACCATACTCATCCATTTAGAGCCAAAACATCACTAATAATACTTATGAGAACAATATCAATCTCAAAACACACTAGCCATCCCAATATCATTCCACAAACAAAATCCTGAAAACATGCATCACCATAGTTAAGAACACATCAAAATGTACCACACACATCAAAATTGGTTACTGGTTAGCCAATTTGTCAATGTATAAATAAAAAAATTGAAAAACTAGGTGAAAAATTGGCTAGTGAAAAACTAAATTCTCAATATAAATAGTAAACATAACATTTTGATAAATTTGAATAATGTAATTCGATGACTTTTTATTATAATATTACAAAAAAATATTGCAGTAATTAATTAATTTCGTCGATCTTAATATTAAGCAATACATTGTACTTTGATTCGTGCTTTGAAAATGCCTCATTGTCAATCTATTTGACTTTTCAATCCAACTCTACATATAATTTGAGTTACCATATGCTAAATTTAGGATTTAGGGTTAGTAGAGTCTATTTGGAGAAACTCTCTAAAAGCTCTTCTAAGAAAAAAGAAAGAAAGACAATCAAAATAAGTTTCTCCATAAATAAAAACTAGTTGATGCATAAATTAAAAATGAGAAAAGGTTAATAAGAGAAAAATTTTACAAATCATCATATACACAAGCTAATTTTAATTTATGGAAAAGTTTATTTTGTTCTTTCTAATTTTCTCTTTTCAAAGTGATTTTAGACAAATTTATCCAATTTAACAAGAAAAAAAAAAAAGTTTGGGTAACCAGGTTGGTAGAGTGCTACAGTTCCTTAGTTCCTCAAATTTTGGAATTCCACTATAAGAAGTTTGGGGAACCAGAATTTATCATATATATACATAAACTATTTTTATTTTTAGTTAACTTGTAAAATATTTGGTTAATTATTTTTCGGTGAACCAAACTACTCTTGTTAACTAAGTTAGCACATCATTAGTCCCTGTGAAATTGGAGTGCAAACATAAGAACCACATGATTAGATGTATTTATCTTAACATGTGAAGATCAAGATTAATTTGTGGGACGATAGACAACAGAATTCTACATTGATGAAACTTTAAGTTCACCATGTTGAAAGACACACAAGCCTAGTGAAACTTCAGTATCCCCAAACAGAAGTCCAATCTGCATTTGAAGTTATTTAACTGAAAGCAACAATAATGACAGACACCAAAATGACAGAGACAGTATTTGTAAATTCTAGGCACAGACAAATCCTGATGGAACCTTCTTTCCACAAGCATTGACAAGCAAACTTAGAGCAACAGGCACTTTGATCTTGACAGGTCCCAACACATTGGCTTTAATAGCTGTGCACAAACACAGTGCTGCTTCAAGATCAGCGAGGCCTTTCACCAGCGTGCAACACTTCTCGCTTGGTCTAGTCCCAATTTCTTCCCTGACCAAGCCTAACCAGCTTCCACAAACACCAAATTTAAGCGTATCTTCGGGGCATTTCTGCGGTGCAGAGGAAGGTGGGGTAGTAGATTTTGGAGGGCATGGGAGATTATCAGATGCAATTGAAATGAAGAAAAGAAAATTGAGCAGGATGAAAGTGCAAACCAACTTTGAACCCTTTGGATTCATTTTCCTCGACCAAAACTACGTCATGGAATCTCTGGTTAGAGGAGGATCCAGCTTAAAATGATTTGGAATTCGCATAGGTTGGATTTCGTTAAAGGATTAGGATATGTTCAATTTGTGGCCAAGGTGAAGCGCGCGTGAATAATGGATAGTGATCTAGTTGATTTTTGTCATTTCTTGTTGGTTTTGGAATCAAGCAACAGTAAATTTTTTTTTTTTGTGGTATCCTTATTGCTTGTTCGCACGTGATATAATCGACATTCTCAGTCAAAATAGTATTAAAAAAATAGGTTAAGCATACAATGTAATCTTTATACATGTTACAAATTCTCAATTTGGTTTGGACACAAAAAAATTGAGTCAGTCGCTTTACGTACAAAAAAATTGAGTTAGTCACTTTACGTATGAATATTATTGATTTAGTTCTTATTCTTGATCTCTTTTTACATTTTTAGATTTTTAGTGAAATAAGATATTCTTAATTTAATCTTTTTACTCGTAAAGTATTCTTAATTTGGTCTCTACATCCAAGGACTAAACAAAGAATGTTTAACATATGTAGGGACCAAATTCAAATTAAGAATGAACTACATTTATAAGAATCAAATTAAAATGCTTAGGAAGTTAGTAGTCAATATATTATAATAGAGACCAGATTAGTAATAATTGCATGTATAGGGACTAATTTAGTATTATTTTAAGTATAAGGATCAAATTGAGAATCAATGACATACATAAAGCTAAATTATATGTTTAACTTACAAAATATATTCAATACATTTCATCAATTTATTAAAATCAACTACCTCCATCAATTTCATGAACAACATATTAATACACTTTCTAAATAAGAGATATGATTCAGGTTATATCAAATGGATATGTGGTTACTGAATACTAGGAAAATTCGAAACAAATTAAGAAACGATATATAATGAAATGGTAACTAATATATCGAAATAGTCACCATTGGGTCTTCAATTACCACTTGGTATCTAATACTCTCATTACACTAGTACAAAAGAGGTAATTTACGTCGGTTGTTTTTTATGTCAGAAAAAGTCCGACATTAAAGCGGGAGACGTAAATTTACGTTGGTTGTAAAATCTGACGTAAATTTACGTCGGACATTGCCAAGATCCGACGTAAAAAGGTTGTAAATAAAAAAAACATAACCAGTGCAAGCAGAACGTCCTGTTCTACAAGCAGAATGAACCGTTCTGCTTGCAGAACAGGCCGTTCTAGATGAAAAATCAAAATTCTCTACGCGAAACAAACTTACAAACATAAGAATCAGGCGAGTTACATACCTTACCTGTAGATGCTCCATATCCTGAATAATCATAGTTGAAAGCATAGCAAAAAATTGAAAGAAACTAAATAAACATAAAACTAAATATATCAAAGTTAAAAAGCAAGAAATTTTGGTGTTGGTGTGTTACTTCGGACGAAACCGAAACCGAAGAAGGAAAGTGAAGAGTGGCAGAAAACAAATCCGACCTAAACGATTGAGCTTCTTCTTTCTCTCACACCGTTTCACATGTCTCTTGTTTTCAAATACTGACACGCGAGCGAAGATTAATAGACTTTTGTACGTCGGACCCCTTTATGTGCGACATAAAAAAGTTCACAAAAATTGCAAAAATGCCACTACATCTTTTTTACGTTGGTTTTTGGTATGTCCGACGACAAAGAGGTGACGTAAAAGACTAATTTTCCACTAGTGTTAGTACTTGACATCCATGGTTCACTACAAGAAAAATGCAAATTATCGACAGATAATTTCCAACGGATATCAATCTGTTGAAAAATTTATATTTTCGACGGGAAAAAATTCGTAGGAAAAGATATTATCGACGGATAATTTCTAACGGATGCAAATCTGTTGAAAAATTTATATTTCTGACGGATACAAATCTACTGAAAAATTTATACTTCTGACGGATATATCTGTCGGTAATTTCTGACGGAATCTGTCAAAAAATTTATATTTTCGACAGATACAAATCTGTCAGAAAATTTATATTTTCGACAGATATATCCGTCAGTAATTTTTAACGAAATTATCCGTCGGTAATTTGTTATATTTTTTATGGAAAAAAATTGTAGGAAAAGTTATATTACTGATGGAATATTTCCAACAAATTTATATTTGTCGAAATTGTAAGAGTTTGTTGATGAAAATTGACAATCATATATTAAAAAAGAACATCAATTAAATTATATATATATTGTCAAAAATGTAAGAATTTTTGACGAAAATTGACAATCATATATTAAAAAAGATCATCAACAAAGTTTTAAATATCTATATATATATATATATATATATATATATATATATATATATAGAGAGAGAGAGAGAGAGAGAGAGGAGGAGGAATCAAATGACTCACAAAGTAACTCTTAATAAAGTTACTTCGTTCAATAACTCATGGTATATGTTGAATTTCATCGATCTAATTATTAAATTAAAAGTTATTAAATTTTACTAATAATTAATATAGAAAAAAATGATTAGCTTTGGAATAAATTATTTGGAAACAATATAGTTGAAAAATTAATTATTTTAAATTATTTAACTAGAATCTTATTGACAATTTATCACATGATCTTGATATTCTTGCATAACTAATATCTGATTTTAAATTTGATATAAAAATATTATGATATAATTAGATAAGATTTTAAATTAGTATTTTATTAATGATTGATAATTAGAAAGTTAAACAAGGATAAATATATTTTTTGAATTTTATATCTTAGATTTAAGATGAATAAATATATTCCTTAATTAATAATTTATTTAAAATGTTAAAATTTAATTTATAAAAATAATATTTTAAAAGAAAAGAGTTATAATAACACTGGTGTAACTTTTACTAAATATTACACTGTTCAATAACTTTATATTAAATGTGAATTTTATAGATTCAACCGTTAGATTGAAAGGTTTTTACTCTTAAATCATATATACAAAATTTATATTAATTCAAGATGATTTGATACTTCACACTACAAAAAAAATGATAAATAGTAGAGGTTATTTTGCGGAGGTTTTAAAACCCTCCTTAAATTATTAAAATCTGCCATTTTTTTATTTAATTTGTAGAGGTTTATAACCTCCTCCAATTAAAATATTATTTTAATTTATAGAGCATACCCTCTCATCTCACAATTAGGGCTTCTCCTCAACATCTCCAGCAGCGCCGCTAACCCCGCCGCTGCCACACTGGAGCTCTAAGGCGGAGCCACCCTCCGCCGCCTCCGCCAGTCACGCCGGAGCCGGAGATTGCCTGGAATCCATGACCAACTCCACCTACGTCGGCCATGACTCTGACCTCTGCCGAGACGACTCCGCCGCGCTCGTCCTCAAATTCGTCGCCCTCGCCTCCATCCTCCTCGCCGGTATGGCCTCCATCCTTCTCCAAGTTCCAATCCTCTGCTTCGCGCTCCTCTCCCTTGGCGTGGTCCTCTCCCCGGCGAACCCTCTCTCCACGTGCTCCGAACTCACGCGCCTCCTCCACCTCAGCAAGTCCTCTATCGTCTTTGCAGCGGCCTCCGTTGAGGAGAAAGCGCGCGAGCTTGGACTCTGAGTCGTGCTGCTCGACTCGCCCGAGTTCGAGTCACTCACCAGGACGCGAACGGACTCACCACGTGTTGGGGTTCATGTTCTGTTTGAGGGCGATGACTTTGACGGAGACGGTGGTGGTGATGGAGAGGTTTAGTATGAGGGGAATGTTGGGCGCCGTGGAGAGGTTTGGAGTAACGCATCTGACGGTGGTGCCGTCAGTGGTGGTGGTTGTGACGAAGGACGGCATCACCGACGGGTACAGTTTGAAGTCGTTGGAATCTGTGGTTCGTTAATTTATATTTTCCATGGTTGAGTACATTGTTCAAAGTTTGATATGATATTTCTTTGATCAAATTCCAGTATTTTCGTTTGGATATTTCTTTACGGATTTTACTAGCTTGACATGTGTATGTGTATACAAATAACCTGTTTCAAACTTAAATTTCTGTAAGTGGGTGTGTTGGTTCTTCCTTCTATGGAAGCTGGGGCACTTCAGTTGTTGGTGAAGATTACACCACGCTGGCCAGGTCAGTTCCATCACAAGTTCGCATGGGGAGGATGTTCAATTTTAACGAAATTTGATATAAATATATAAAGTGATATGAACTTTCAATTTTAACTGTTGGATTTACAAAATTCACATTCAATATAAAGTTATTGAGCTGTGTAATAATTAGTAAAAGTGTGATCATATTTTGGTATATTATGAAATGTATATATTACGTCAATTTTTTTTTACAAGAATGACACTACAACAAATGTGCTAAATAATGGAGGTTGTTTTTGCGTTTAGCGGTTGCATGCTACACTTGAGAAGCTGATTGAGGATATTCATTTGAAAGGTGACAACAGAATCAGCTTTATTGTTGCAGATTTGTGCATGGCATGGGTGTTGGATGTTGGGGGTAAATTTGGAATCAAAGGAGCTATATTCTGGCCTGCCTCTGCAGCTGTGTTTGCCTTGATATGCAACATCCCCAAGCTTATTGATGATGGGATCATAAATTCTGACGGTAACAATATCATACTTTACTATCCATGTTTGTTTGACTCTATTGATTGATGAAACATGTAGATTTGTTACTTTTGTTCTTTTTATGTATTTTCTTATAAAAGAAAATTTTATTTCTGCTTGTTTATTCCATTAAAAAAGCTTAAGACAATGATTTTATCTAACCCGACAAGTCAAAAACTAATATCATTTGTAATACTATAATTGTCTCTGGCCGAAAGGTTTTTCCCATACTTAATGTCATTTTATTTTGGTTTTTGTTAATTTTTTTTTCCTGAAGTATGATTTAGCACTCACTCTAAAACTAGGAGATTAAAAATATTTTAATAAAATAATTTCAAGAAGAGAAAACATATGTTTTTAGAAAGTGCGTATTTTTCAAAAATATATTTTTAGTCTTTTAAAAAATACTTTTCATAATATATAGAAAAGCTAAAATATATTTTTATAAAGTAATTTCTGATAAGGCTGACTCAAGACATTGTTAATTAAGCTTAAAGCGAATCTTAAAATAAGTGATAAATTTTTAAGGATATTGAAAGATTGTATTTAAGAAACTATACTATTGTTTCTACTGATGTATAAAAATACAACTTCATCAAATAACCCGAAATTGATTTTCTAGTGATAGGGCTTGAGGCCCAATCTGAATCACAATATCTTGTGAGTTGAAGAGTGTTTTCCTTTTGGCAGAATAATTACTACTAGAAAAATTAAAATTAGAGAGGGAATGAATACGTCACAAAACAGTATAAAATCTGTCATAAAACAAATTTGTAACAGAATTTGTGACAGAACTGATTTCGTCACAAAAATTGGCGTCACAAAATATTTAGTGATGGAAAATTTCAGTCCGTCACAATCAGTGACGAAATTATGGCATCACAAATTCTATCACTAATTTCTAATATTAAATGTTCATAAATTAATAAAATTCCGTCACAAATTGTGACGAACTTAGTGAGAGACTCGTTTCCGTCACAAATTTGTGACGGAATTTGTGACTTCGTCACAAATTTGTGATTGATTTAATCCGTCACAAATTTGTGAGGGATACGTGCCTCTTATTAATGCCAAAAGTTGAAAGGAATGTTGGCCTCTCAAGAGGGTTCTATTTCACGACATTTTACTTTTTATCATGTTTTATCCTTACTTGCACAATTTCTGGGAGACATCCCAAAAGATCACCCATCCCTATATTACTTCAAGTCAAGCACGCTTAACTGTGAAGTTCTTATGAAATAAGCTACCAAAATGTATATGCATGTTGTCAATATAACTTGTACAAGTTAATTCATTTAAGTCATCCTGAACTATACATTTAAAAAACCTCCATAGTTAGCGTAGGTTTAAAACCTCCTCTAGAAAACCTCCACAGTTAGTGTAGGTTTAAAACCTCCACACAAAAACCTCCGCAAAATACTATCAATACCAGAGGTTTTTAAAAACCCCCGCTAATTGCTTGTGGCGAATGTAACCGCGGAGGTTTTTGAAAACCTCTACAATTTATTTTGCAGAGGGTAAAAACCTCCGCTAAACGCAAAAACAACCTCCATTATTTAGCACATTTGTTGTAGTGTCATTCTTGTAAAAAAAAATTGACGTAATATATACATTTCAAAATATACCAAAATATGATCACTGTGATTACCTTCAAGTTGTTGTTCAATTTTAACGAAATTTGATATAAATATATAAAGTGATATGAACTTTCAATTTTAACTGTTGGATTTACAAAATTCACATTCAATATAAAGTTATTGAGCTGTGTAATAATTAGTAAAAGTTACACTAGTGTTATTATAACCCTTCTCTTTTTAAAATATATAAATTATTATTTAAACTTTTAAATTT